GCAGGCGCGCGGGCCGCGGGGTGCCTCCGAGTGGGCGCGGGTCCCGGTGCCGCAAAGGCAGCCGCGTCCTCGGGTACAGGGCGTGCGGAGGGCTGACTCCCCGTGCGCGCGCGTACACACACACACACACACACACACGCCTCCGCGGGGCGCGCACACACACACACACACGCCTCCGCGGGGGGCGACGACAGGGAGCGGCGAATATTGGTTCCGGTATAGGGGACGTGCAGCGCTTCGGCCCCGGGCGCGCGCAGGCGCGCACACACTCACAAAACACACTTGTTTGGGGACAGGCGACAAGGCCAGTGCTGAAAAATGCCTCGGCTGCGGCCCCGCCGCGCGCCCGGGCCTCCGTAGTCCGAGGGTCCCAGCCCCGAGCCCGGGGTCGGTGAGGTAAACGGCCGGCGCGCAGGCGTCCTCCCGCTGCCCGGCGCAGGTAGCGGCTGGGTAGGCAGGTCTCGCTCAGGTTCCCTCCGAGTGGGTCCCTGAGGCCAGAGAGGGTGGTGGCGGCAGAAGCCGCGACACAGGGGCGGGCTTCCCTCCCTCCGGCTTAAAGCAGGGTTTGCTCGGCCCGAGGAGACCCGCAGACGGTGGATGGGGTGTCCGCACCCTCGGAGCGATCCGAACCAGCCGCGCCCGCACGCAGCACACTTAGGAACCAAGTAGCCCTACGGGGGCCCCTGCCAGCCCGCGTGGCTCTGGGGAGGAATCTTAGAATTGGACTTTGCAGGGACCTCCAAGCGCACATCACACCCTGGGGTGAGGGGTGGGAGCGCACTCGGGAAGCTCACACCCGCAGCCGGGCTCTGTCCGCGCCGAGCCGCGCCCTCCCGGTGGCGGAGACGTCCAATGGCACCGAACCTCCGACAGACGGGGCTTCCGCGGGACGGCCGCCCCCGCCCCCCCATCCGGTGTCCCCTCCCCATCGCCCCCCTCCCCCGCCCTCCGGGGTCCTGACTTTCCTCCTTGTGTCTCCACAGTGGCGCTGTCGTTTATGGAGCTTTGGGCGGGGGCTGAGCCCTCGGTGTTGCCCCCCCACCCGCAGCCCAGGCCATGCCACCGCCTCGGCGCGCTCAGGCGCGGCCGCCGGGTCTCCAGGGCTGAGCCGGGAGCCGCGCGAGGAGGAGGCGCCGGCGGCGGAGCCCGCTCGGGAGCCGCGGCGGCGGGCAGCGCGGCGGACCCAGTACTATGGCTGTGTATTGCTATGCACTCAACAGCCTGGTGATCATGAATAGCGCCGAGCAGGTGAAGAGCGGAGGCCCCCGACCCAGCAGCAGCGAGACGCCCCCGCCGCCGGGCAGGGCCGTGCTGAGCCCCGGCAGCGTTTTCAGCCCCGGGAGAGGCGCCTCTTTCCTCTTCCCACCCGCCGAGTCGTTGTCGCCCGAGGAGCCCGGGAGCCCCGGGGGCTGGCGGAGCGGCCGGCGCAGGTTGAGCGGCGGCAGCTGCAGCAGCGTGGGCAGCCCGAGTTGGCCGGGCCGCCCGCGAGGGGACGGGCAGCAGGTGGTGACCGCCGGGTCCCTCTCCCCTCCGGGGCCGGAGGAGGCCCAGAGGAAGCTGCGAATCCTGCAGCGCGAGTTGCAGAATGTGCAGGTGAACCAGAAAGTGGGCATGTTCGAGGCGCACATCCAGGCGCAGAGCTCCGCCGTCCAAGCGCCCCGCAGCCCGCGTCTGGGCAGGGCTCGCTCGCCCTCCGCCTGCCCCCTCCGCAGCAGCAGTCAGCCCCCAGGGAGGGCCCTGGCTCAGAGCGAGGAACGGAGGACAAAGTCGTGGGGGGAGCAATGTCCAGAGACTGCAGAGACCGGCTTCTCGGCCGGGAGAGGAAGAGCGCCGGGCCTGTGCCTCTCCGAGGGCGACGAGGGGGTGGCACATTTCCCCCACCCTGACGCCCCGTCAGGACCAGGGGCTCAGGGTGCAGCGGTTTCTGCAAGAATGGAGAAGGGGACCCCGGCCAGACCCCACTGTGGCTCACCTAGAGCTATGGAAATTGACAAGAGAGTCTCTCCACCTTCGGGGACGCGCAGCTGCCAAGCTCCCCCGTCGGGGCTGGTCGGCGTGAACTTAGGGATGGCCACAGAGGGGACAGCGAGAGCCACATCCAGTGGGCCACATCATCCACACGACGCTGGCCTCACTGAGCGGCCTGAGAGGGCCCGCGAGTTCGGGGGTGTGCACCCCGGGGAATCCCTGGTGCAGAGTCAGGGGCAGTCTCTGGGCAGCCAGACAAGCCCAGCCCCAGAGAGGGGCGGGCCCCGCAGCGGAGAGCCCCCTGGGAAGGTGGGGAAAGGAGATCCGCCCGGTGGCGCGCAGGGCCCTGGGGCGCCTGAAGCCGGAAGGCCAGAGGACAGAACTGTGAATGCGCAAAGCTCGGAGCTTTCTGAGGCCCCGAGCCGGGTCAGGCCACCCCCAGACCTGGGCTCTATAGGCCCCGAGGTGACCCAGGGTGGGGCCCCAGTGATCAGGGAGCCTCCACAGCGCTCCAGGGGAGTGGATGAAGGGTCTCCAACGGCGTGGGGCTTGCTTGGGGGCAACCGCTCTGCACAGCCAGAGACCCAGGAGGTGGACGCAGGAATTTCCTCTGGCCGAATGCTGGAGGCTTTGCCCTCCTGGGAAGCCGTGAAAGATCTGAAAGAACCTCCGTGCCTTCCTGGGGACAAGCTGGGGGTGCAGCCTGGGAGCTCCGGGGCTTGGCTGGGCCCCATGGAGGCAGCCCAGCTGGCTTGGACGTGTGGCACAGGGGTGCAGTCGGAGGGTGCTTGGGGAAGCCCCCAGCAGGACAGAGCTACCCACCCCAGCCCAGAGCTGCTCTCCCCAGACGGGAAGGACAAGCCTTCCCCAAGAGAGGCCTGCAGCCCCAGCAATATACCCGCTGTCATCATCACAGACATGGGTGCCCAGGAGGACGGGACCTTGGAGGAGGTACAGGGAAGCCCCCAGGGTAGCCTGCCCTTGAGGAAACTGTCATCTTCATCTGCCTCCTCCACGGGCTTCTCCTCCTCCTACGAAGACTCAGAGGAGGACATCTCCAGTGACCCTGAGCGCTGCCTGGACCCCAACTCCGCCTTCCTGCATACCCTGGACCAGCAGAAGCCCAGAGTGGTAAGTCACGTTCTGACATTTTCCTTCGACTCCTTTGCACGCCCCTGTTGTTCTTACTTTGTACTGAGTCATGAAGACTCCGATCAGGGCCCTGGGGCGGTCACAACTTACGATCGTCTCCAGGTGTGTGTGCTGGGGAGGTGGCTGGGCACATTGTAGTGGGGACAGTAAATCCAGTCACTTCGCTTGCCACTCCCATGAACATCTTAAAAAACGATATTTAAGGTACCTTTCTGGCAGGTCACGGCTCCCTTCTCGGGGAGACAATATTCCTGGGTGTTACCAGAAACTCCCTGATGAATCCCAGAAGATAATGAACAGAGCTGCTGAGTATAGCTTTTGTCTGAGCAGGTGAAACACTTAATTCTGTGATACCTTTGGGCAAGAAAGACTGACAAGGTCATGAAATTATCTCGGCTTCTACTCATAGGCTGGGAAAATGAGCCGTGTGATTCTATTTCGGGGCTCCGAAACCTGGGGCTGTGCTTGGGCCAGTGTTGTGGGTGAAGAACCACCTGGCCTCAGGTGGTTGTCAGGACAGCGCAGTATTTGTGGGATCCGTGTAACTTAGATACAGTTTGATGTAGGAATTAAAATAAAAACCATGCTTTGAGCTACACAGACAATTTTTAAAAATAGCAGAATGTTATATTCGATTATATTGCCTGAGCTAGGCACTGGGTGATATCTCTAGGATAGAGAGTTCCTAATGCATATGCTTGCTGGCTGGTGTAGGTACATTTCAGGTATGTTTTCAGTACATTTGTTTTAAGATTATTTATTTATTTGAGAGAGTGAGCGCAAGCAGGGGGGAGGAGCAGAGGGAGAGGGAGAAACAGACTCCCTGTTGATCAGGGAGCACCATGTGGGGCTCGATCCCAGGACCCCGCGATCGGGACCTGAGCTTCACCTCCTGAGCCCCCCAGGGGCGCCTGAAGCGCCATTGTTTTGATTCACCCTACTAACATCTTTTTCTAGCCATGGGTATTTATTTGTTACATAGTTAATCTCAGTCCCAGGCTGTTTTCACTCTTAGGAGGATCAGAGTGTCTTAACGGAAGATGTTAAGAGTTGAAGCTAACACTTCTGAAAAGGTCTGGACTTTCTCTTACTTTTCCGGAGTATAGGGGAATTTCCTAGTTCAGAGTGCAAGGGGAGGGGTTCTGGTGCTATGCTGGGGGAAGGTCTGGGTTTTATTGTAGTAGGGAGCCTTCGGACTGCATCTTGAGTATCAAATACTATTCATCCTATGGCAATAACTCCAACCATAGCTGCTAAGAACTTTGTATTTCTACTTTGCATCCTTCTCGAAGGTATTTTGGACCTCAAACCCCTTCCCTCTTGGACTTCTACTTAAGTAATCACAGTCTGAATTTTTGAAGACCAGGCATTCCTTTTCACGAGACTCTGCTTTCTCTGATGATGGGGAGGCAAGTGTGTATGCAAAATTTGGCCCCAATTAGCCTGGCGTTTCGTGGCAGGACAGGGCTGTGGGCACAGGCACACCGGCTTGGTGGGGAGGAACGATGCACCTGGGAAGGGATGGACATCCTTCTCAATGTAGGCGCTCACGTTTCTCTGACTTCGCGCCCACAATTATAGGCCTGGTGGAGAGGGTGGTCCTCCGTTCCACTCTTCCCGTTTGCTTTCAAAACCCTGACCCGTCGCTGGCACAGCCAGGTCGCTTTAACTTGTTCTCCAGTTTTCCATTCGGCCTGTCTAGTGGCGGATTAGCAGCTCCTGTTGGCTGTCTCTCAAAACAGCTTCTGTGTCCCTGTGAGAAGGGCTGTTGTCTGGAAGTCAGCTGAAGGGGAGATCAATAAGGAAAGGTGCTAATTTTTTTTTTCATTTGCCAGAGGGATGCCAACTGAGAGGCCAGATGGTTGAGTGGTGTGCTGTGAGCTAACAGGTCCACAGGTAGAAATGAGGCCTGCCCGTCGCCTGGGGGGCTTAGTCCGTGAAGCCTCCGGCTCTTGGATCTCAGCTCAGGTCCTGATCTCAGGGTCCTGAGTTCAAGCCCCATGTTTAAAAATAAATGAGAATAAACAAGAAATGAGGCCTGCCTGTTGTCCACCCTCCCTCCCACCTCTACACAGGTTTTCAGACACCCACAGAGGAGAGCCAGGGAAAAATCCCCTGCCAGCTTGGCTCTGTGTCACGTGAGGCCTCGGGGGGCCTGTGTGGGGGGAAGGGTGGGTAACCAACTGGAAATGATGGGATCCTAGGGACTTTTCAGCTGTTGGTTGAGTGCTTGCATGATAAGCTAAATTTTCTTTTTCTTGTACAGATTGTTATGGTGGAGCCCTATCTGTGACACCAAACATCTGCTCATTGGGTCAAAAATCCCTTGATTACCTGATATTGATATTTTGTCTACGGAAGGCCAGACATCTTGATTGACCCGGCCTTTTGGCTGCGCTCCTCAGTGCTTTGTAGATAAGCCTGCTGCTTCTGTCTGTGGGGCTGCCCTTTGCTGCGGGTGCATACGTCCACAGCCGTTCACGCTCACGTGTGCTCACTCTCTCACACACCCTCACGTGCTCACACACACGCCCACAGCCATTCACGCTCACATGTGCTCACACTCACACACCCTCACAGGTGCTCACACACACGCCTGCTCCTGTTCACGCTCACATGTGCTCATCTTCACACCCTCACACGTGCTCATACACATGCCCACAGCCGTTCACGCTCACGTGTGCTCACACTCATACACACCCTCACAGTGCTCACACACGCCCACTCCTGTTCACGCTCACACGTGCTCACACTCACACACCCTCACAGTGCTCACACGCCCACTTCTCTTCACGCTCACACGTGCTCACACTCACACCCTCACAGTGCTCACACACACCCGCACCCGTTCATGCTCACACGTGCTCACACACATGCCCACAGCTGTTCACGCTCACGTGTGCTCACACCCACACACACCCTCACACGTGCTCACACACGCCCACAGCCATTCACGCTCACGTGTGCTCACACCCACACACACCCTCACACATGTTCACACACACCCACAGCCGTTCACGCTCTCGTGTGCTCACACACACACCCTCACACATGTTCACACACACACGCCCACTCCTGTTCACGCTCACATGTGCTCACACTCACCCTCACACGTGCTCACATAGGCACAGCCATTCATGCTCACATGTGCTCACACTCACACACACCTTCACACGTGCTCTCTCACACACGCCCGCTCCTGTTCACGCTCACATGTGCTCAACTCACACCCTCACACGTGCTCACACACACCCCCACCCATTCATGCTCACACGTGCTCATACTCTCACACATCCTCACACGTGCTCACACACACGTTCACTCACCCGTTCACGCTCACGTGTTCACACACCCTCACCCATTCATGCTCACACTCATACACCCTCACCTGTTCACATTCACATGTGCTCACACCCACATACACACTCACACTGACACATGTTGGCACTCACATGCTCACGTTCGCCCTTGGCCTCACATGTTCATGCTCACACGTATGTGCTCACAAGCCTTACATGCTCAGGCACACACACACGCTCACTCACACACGCTCATACACCCTCATATTCATGCTCATACACGATCACACTCAGATTCATTCACCCTTATGTGTTCACACTCACAATGCACTCAGGTGCTCACACTCACACACACTCACCGTCACACATGCTTGCACACCCACTCACACCCACAGGTTTGAAATTGCATGTTCAGCCTCTCAGTCTTGCAACCAATCGCTGGCCCTCAGCCCCACACTGAGAATTTTTTTTTTGCTGCCCTGCCTTTCCCCAGAGAGGAGGCCTTTTATGCCTTGTGCAGCTTGTTCTTCCCTTCTGTGGAGGAGTGACTGTGGGTGATGCTGTGTGGGCGGAGGCGACAGCCCAGGGAAGCCTGAAGCTGGCTGCTTTGTTCGCTCTCCTGCTGTTGGGTCCCCCTGCTGCTCATCGCTGGTGGAAGCCCCACGGCCCATGTACCGGAATCTAGAAGCCCTCCCTGTGGTTAAAAATAAAGTGAAAAGCAAGTTGTTCGGGAATGCACTCTGAAAATCACTTAGCCATTTAGATAATGCAAATTAGCCGTGGCCCTTTTACTGGAAGGGAATGTGGTCAGAAGGCTGGTGTCCCCCCTTGTTTCCATGGGCAGGAGCTGTGCAGACAGCCTCAGATGCATGCACTGTGCCTCCGGCTTTCTCCTCCTGATGAGCCCGACCCACAGGCCTGTCCCTGAAGTCGAGTATTCCAAGGCTTCGCACCTGTCTGTTTATAAAGGCTCAGATGCGAGATATTGGCTCAGAAGCAATTGTATTGCATGCCTTATGTCTGGGGCTTAAATTCAGGCACCTTCACACTTACTGTTCTCTGTGGTCTGAACAGAAGCGAACTGCACTTGAGCAAGGATGGTGCTCTTGCTTGTTGTTCTTTAAGACAACTAAAAATCCCATCAGTACATCTTGTCTTCCCTCTATCATTCCATTACGAGTATGTGGGCCATGGAAACACCAGGCTTAAAGGATATGTTAAAATATGCGCGCATCTTACTTTAGAAAGTAGATTTTATTGATTTATTCCAAAATTGTGTTATCAATTATATGTACAGAAAATAAGGCAAAACACTGGCCTGGTTACCTGGGGGATCCGTAAAGAAGTATCCTAAAAATTCTTGCCTTCTTGGTACTTAATATTTTATAAGGGCCCTTGGAATTTTGTTTCCTTTGCTTTTTAAAAAAATTTGACTAGTTCTGTGTTTTGGGGGGTGTGTGTGTGTGTGAAAAAGTAACTCACACATGTAGTAAAAAATTCAGACAGTTTAAAATGGTTTTACATGGGGGCCTGGCTGGCTCAGTTGGTGGAGCATGTGACTCTTGATCTCAGGCTCATGAATTCGAGCCAGACGTTGGGTGTGGGGCCTACTTAAAAAGAATATTAAAAAAAAGTTAAAATGGTTTTATGTGGTTTTGAAAAGTGTAACACTTATTTTGG